CCTCTTCCCTCATTTTCAGTGATCGAACTTGAGGGCCACTTGGTATAAAATCTAGAATACAGCAGGTCCTCAAATTACGTCCTTTCCCTGAACATTGTGTCATGATAATGATGCCGAAGGAACTCTTGTTTAAATGAATTAGCCTGTGGCAAAGTTGGTTTTGTTATACTTTGTTTTGTTTTGCTTAAAGTCACAGAAACTGTCAGTGATGTTAAGTGAGGACGTTACTGAATAAGTAGGAAGGGGACAGCGTTGGAAGCTAACCTGGATGGAGCAGGAGTAAAAGGCCTCCTGGAATGTGAGGGGCACCTGAGCTGGGTCTGAAGGATGAGGCCTGTCACCAGACCACAACTGCTGGAAGGACATTTCCGGCTTCACAGAGGGGCCTTGTCACCTGCCCTGGAGAAAAAGGCTGGGGGGGCCGTTCACCAGGCTCCTCTCCCGCTCCCGCTGCCGCGGGGTCTGGTCCTGCCCACCTGACCCCTTCCTCCTGCAGAATGTGCAATTGCCTACAGGTGGGATTAATTAGGTGGGATTAGTTAGGTCCAGTCATTCTAAACAGCTCTACAGGGTGGCATATTTTTTTCTCTAAATGCACATATTCGTTTGAGGGCTGTGTCTTCCTTTATCTTTTGCAGAAAGTCACTAAATTAAAAGAATTGCCATTTTAAATTGCAGATTAAAGACAAACTTAATTAGAAGGAATGAAGGCAGGCGTGTTTGGAGCTTCAGTTCAACGCGTGTGTTGTTGTTTTTTCCTTTGCTCCTGAATCACTACACTTGGAGTTTGTATATTTTTATTTTAGGTGAAATGATTTGCCTAATTAAGCCTGTCATTCTTCACCACCGGTTCTCTCTAAAATATGTGGCTATATTATTAAGCTTGCACCCAAATGTATAAATTAATTCAGCAGGGAATTACAGTGTTGACTGGGATGTTATTAGGTTGTATCCAATTTATTTGGTCAGAAAACTGATACTTCCCCCCAATAAAGTGAAACAACAGCTTATTAAGTTTCTTCAGTCTTTTGTTGAGCACTTGTTATGTCGTAGGCATGGGCTAGGCTTGGCGGTCGGGGCAGGTAGGTACAGCCCCTGCCTTTGGGCTCCTGGGGAGCCAGAAGGGGAAACTGGCGATTAGGATACCATCGCTTAAATCAGGGTTAGTCTGGGGCCAGGGAATGCTTCCTGGAAGAGGTGACCCCTGAAGGGCAGGTGGAATCAGTCAGGTGGAGAGGTTGCTACAGCTCAGTGGAGGGTTGGGTCATGGTCAGTGATCCTCCTGGAGGGGGGCGTGGTCAGATCTGAGGCTGGACAGTTAGCCAAGTTGTTGGTGGTTCTGAAGAGCTCAGGTTTCTCCTCCAACCCATGTTCCATGCTCTGTGCCTCTCTTCTCAGTTGCTGTGCCAGGAGGTGTGTAGTAGGAATTTATTTTGGCAGAAATGCTAAAGTTCTTATTTTAGCCAGTGGAGCCCCAGGTTGTCATAGGTGAAAATGCCTTGCAATTTATATGGTCCCTCCCTGTCCTCTGCAGGTGGCAAAGTAAACAAGACCCTCCCCACACCATGCCCCTTAGCTTGCTCCCTCCTCTCCATTCCTGACAACCAGAAAGAGATCAGAGGGAAGGGAAGGCATGGTGGAGAGGCACTAGCTCAGCAGTTCTCAACCTGTGGGTCGAGACCCCTTTGGGGGTCGAACGACCCTTTCACAGGGGTCGCCTAAGACCATCAGAAAACACATATATAATTACATATTGTTTTTGTGATGAATCACTATGCTTTAATTATGTTCAATTTGTAACATGAAAATATATCCTGCATATCAGATATTTACATGACGATTCATAACAGTAGCAACATTACAGTTATGAAGTAGCAACGAAAATAATTTTATGGTTGGGGGTCACCACAACATGAGGAACTATATTAAAGGGTCGCGGCATTAGGAAGGTTGAGAACCACTGCACTAGATGGTCCCATGCCCCTGACCCCATCTCCTGCTGTGCCCAGATCTCCATTTCAATGGGGCATTCATTACACAGGGCCCTGGCCTCACCATCCCCTAGCTGGTCTCCCTGCCTCCAGGGTTGCCCCAAACCCTCCATCAGTTATACAGAACTGATTCTAAAACCTAATCTGAGAATTGAATTTATTGATTTAACCAAGAATGCAGTCCCAGCTCTTGTGAAAGGGGTTCTCTGACCAGGCCCCTTCTTGTCTGCCTGATCCCATGGTTAGCCAGCCCCTCCTACAGGGCTCTGCAAGCTCAGAACCTGCTTCACCTCTCCCTCACCCTTCTTCTCCTCAATACACTAAATACCCCATTTGACTGACTGCCATGAGGGCTGGTGTGGT